CCTTTTTTTTTTTTTTTTGAGATGGAGTCTCTGTCACCAGGCTGGAGTGCAGTGGCATGATCTCGCCTCACTGCAACCTCTGCTTCCCAGGTTCAAGAGATTCTCCTGCCTTAATCTCCCAAGTAGCTGGGATTACAGGCGCCCACCACCACACCCAGCTAATTTTTGTTATTTTTAGTAGAGATGGGTTTTACCATGTTGGCCAGGATGGTCTTGATCTCTTGACCTTGTGATCTGCCCACCTTGGCCTCCCAAAGTGCTGGAATTGCAGGCATGAGCCATTGCGCCTGTCTCTCTTACTTTCTGAACCATCAAGTGAAGGATAAGTACAGGCTAATGACATTTCCCATGCACACGTTCTCTGCAGTCATTATCGTCATAGCTGACACTTACGTAGTGCTTACTCTCCGCTTCCCTTCAGCACTTTACAGCAACAATATGAGATGGACACTAACATTTCCCTGTTTTGTAAGTGGGGAAGCAGGCGTCGAGAAGTGAGTTCTCAAGGTCACACGGCTAGTCAGTGGTAGAATTGGGATTGGAATGTGGGCAGTCTTGACTCTACCTGAGGATGTCCTCCACCCAAATGAAAAGATCCAAGAGCTGAGATGAAGCACAGAGCAAGGCGAGAGGAATCCCTAGGCTGGAGGTGCGGGGATGTCATGCTCCAGGATGGTAGCAGTACAGGTGGGTCCAGGTTAGAGTAGAGGGACGAAGGACTCCAGGAAGAAATGGAAGAGCTTATATTCCCTGGTGTGTCTGATCAGGTACCGAGTGATGTTTGGGCATGCGAGGGTTGGAGAATGGATTAGAAAAGCAAAACAAAAAGAAGAAAAAAACTTATGAAAGGGGCGGCTGGGCGCGGTGGCTCAAGCCTGTAATCCCAGCACTTTGGGAGGCCGAGACGGGCGGATCACGAGGTCAGGAGATCGAGACCATCCTGGCTAACACGGTGAAACCCCGTCTCTACTAAAAAAATACAAAAAGCTAGCCGGGCGAGGTGGCGGGCGCCTGTAGTCCCAGCTGCTCGGGAGGCTGAGGCAGGAGAATGGCGGGAACCCGGGAGGCGGAGCTTGCAGTGAGCTGAGATCGGGCCACTGCACTCCAGCCTGGGCAAAAAAAAAAAAAAAAAAAAAAAAAAAACTTATGAAAGGAGAGGTCATCAGCATCATCATGTTATGTTATGTGGGTTTGCTTTGAACGATATTTGTGTAGCCTTTATTAAAAAAAAAAAAAAAACCTGAATATTGATTTCACTAAGAATTGTGGTTTGGGGAGGATGGGGGAGAAAGTGCTTTTTAGGCGTGTGCGTGCATATGTGAGGCCAGTGGACAATGGTGTAATAGTGAGATCCTCTGCTTCGTAGTATGAAGTCAGGAGATATCAATAGTATTTGAGATGGAAAAACCAAGCACTGTCAGTATAGTATTTAGAAATATGGCAGTAAATACCAGAGGAAACACTTAAAAGGTTTGAAAAGGGTTGCTGGAGAGCTGGAATTAGGATTTGGAAAGAGTGAGGTAGGAGACTGCTATTATTCGATGCAAGAATTGTGTGATTTATTTATTTTTTCTCAAACAACATACACACAAAACCTGGAATTATCCTTGACTTTTTTCTTCCTATCATAACCCATATCCGATTCAAAGCTTGATGGTTCTAGATTCAAAGTATGTCTGGAGGCTGATCCCTTCTCACCACCTTTCCTGCTGCCACTGGGTCCAGCCACCACTTCTCATCTGGATTATTCTAGTATCTTCTCTCTGGTCCCTGAGCTACTCTTATTGCCCCTCTCCAGTTTCTTAGCGGCAGTCCCCAGACTGATCCTGTTCACATATAGTCAGATTGTGTTGCTCTCTTGTTCAGAGCCCTGCAGTGGCTTCCTAGTTCGCAAAGTCCAAGCCAAAGTCCTTCAGGTTGCACCACATGTCCACATACCCCATTTCTCTGCTTTATTTTCTCCAAAGCACTTAGCATCGTTGAAATGTGTTTTTTTTTTTATGAATTTATTTTGTTTCTTGCCTGTCTCCCCTTACCACAATTCAATCTCAGGAGGGTGGGATTTTTTCTGACTTCTTCGCTGCTATATTTCCAGAGCCTAGAACAGCCTAGAATAGTAGGCACTGAATAAACATTTGTTAGATAAGGGTATTGCCTTTATAAAAATAAAAAGCCAGTTAAAAATACAGCGAGTTTTTAAGCCATTTGCCATAAGCTAAGCTAAGCAGCTCATTGTTTTACTGGCTTAAGCATCCATAAGCAGTTTGAAACTGAAATCTTGAGGGGTCTCATTGAAAAGATTTGTTTCCATTTGGAAAATAACCATATGCTGTCCTGAGATTACACACCTATCTCTGTCATGCACTCTCAAACTTGTTTACAAAAATTTATCATAATGCTCTGTGGTAACTACTTATGACTAGAAGGATTGATTTTCACAACCTGTGGCAGCTAAGATTTCAAGGAGAACACTAGTATATGTTTTTAAACCATAGAATCTGCTTAGTGAGTATAAATAGGCATCACACACGTCTTCTGTAAGGAGCACACACCTAAGATTCTAATTCTTCTAACATGGGGAAAACCACCTCCAAGGCAAACCAACAGTTTGCCTTCTACTTGCTCATAACAATCCTTGCCATGCTTTGCTGCTGAGTGCAGCTCTTTGTATTTCATCAGGGTGTTCTCTTGCCTGACTTTGCCCTTCTTCTCACCTATGCCTTCAGGAACCTTAAGATGCCAAATTAGTGCTATCACCTGTATTTCCATGGCTACCAATCACAGTTCTGCAGACACATGATTAGAATTCGTAGCAGGAGAAGCTGGACTATGTGACGGAATGGTCTTTATCCCAAAGCAAATACCTGATTACACAGGGAACAACAACAACAACAACAACAACAACAAAAGAGCAAAGTGAATTACGTGTGCAAAAACCCTTCTTGTGAATCAGTTAAAAGATAACCTCCCTCCACACCCCTAATTCCTAAATCTCATAATATGGGCAATCCTTGAATCTACCAAGGATTTTATATACTTCACAGTCCTGTTTCTTTGATGTGGAATCTGTTAGATTATGGCTCCATTCATAGAAGTATGTCAGTTGTCCCTTAATATCCTCAGGGATTGGTTCCAGGACCTTGCAGATACCAAAATCTGGATGCTCAAGTCCCTGATAGAAAATGATGTAGTATTTGCATATAATCTACGCACATCCTCCTGTGTACTTTTAATCATCTCTAGATTACTTACAATACCTAACACAATGTAAATGCTATTTAAATAGTTATTATATGATATTTATTTGTATTATTTTTTATTTTTTTGATGCTGTTTTTTTCCGAGTATTTTTTAGCCAGGGTTGGTTGAATCCATGGACACATAACACATGGATACTGACTATGATTAATATTTGTGTTGTCTGCTTACTATGGGACCAATGAGATTTTGCAGGGATTTTTGTGTTGTTGTTTGTTTTGGTGATTTTACTGAGCTTAACAGGTGTTAAGTTACATAGATTTGAGTAAGACCTTTGGCAAAGTCTTTTCTTGTAAACAAGGAAATGTGTGTGTTAATGGATGGCACAGTGAATAGGATTCATTGCTGGTTACCGACTGTTCCCAAGATCGTTTTGGAGAGAGCTCGATCGCGGGGTGTCTCAGGTCTCTGCCCTTCCCCTGGCCTGTTTGTACAGGGTATTGAATATTTGGATAATGACTTAGAGGACATGTTTATTGAGTGGTGGATGAGAAAGCTAAGAAGAATAACTAAAGCTAACTGACCAAGGATTTTAAAAGATCACAGACCGAAGCATGAGTTGAAAGAGACAGGATGAAATTGAATAGTGACAGTTGTTGTCATCAGCTTAAAATATCACTGGAGAACTGGCCAAACTGCTGTAGAGACAGAAGGTACTTGAATTTTGTGAGATCAGTGGGAATTAGGTGTGTGTCTTGTAGTTGTATAAAAACAGCCAAGGCTCTTGGTTACAGTTGCCAAGATACACAACAAAAGTAGTGCAGTCACTGCTTCTAGTGAATCCTGCAAGAATGGCCAGGTCACACTTGGAATGTTGTACTCAGTTTTTACTGACATAATTAAAATGGTTTTATTGTGTAATATTTGGTGCATACAAAAGAATACATGTAAAACACGAGTTATAAAGTAAGTAATAAAATGAATGTCTAAAAGCCTTATTCCCAGTTTAAGAACTAGAACATTCTGAAAACCATTGAAACGGTATTTTCCTTCCATACTCCGGAAGTAACCACTACCTTGCACTTAAGTTTGTCATTTCCTTTCTTGTTGAAAAACGGTTCTACCATGTTACGTGTGTATTTCTAAGCAATACATTTTTTACTTGTTTTGGAATTTTATGAGAAGGGTGTCACTGAAGGTAATAACACTTCATGCCCCTTGCTTTTTACTTTCAACATTGCTTCTAAGATTCATATGCATTGGCCTTTCCCAGCCAGAGCCCCTCATCTTGACCACAGAACATAGAAAATAATTTGAGTGTATTTTCTGAGTCCTCCAAACATGATACGTAAATAGTCTCCCAAAGTTTAGATGAATAAGGGAGAAGTTATCTCATTACATACAATGGATGCCTTAGGCTGGGCAGTCAGAGCTTAATTCTCTATTGGAACCTGGTTGAGACTGGCTGAATTGTTACATGTAGCTAGAGTTAATTCATTTTTACTGCTGTAAGATATCCCATTTGTGAGCACACTAAAGTATTTTTCATATGTCCTTCTATGGACGGAAATTTGAGTTTCCAGTTTTTCGGTTTTGTTACTATGAACAGTTCTCTGATGAACATTCTTGTGCAGATCTGCAGGTGCACAGGAAAAATTTCTCTAGGCGTACATCTGAGTGAAATTGCTTTGGTCTGCTGTGCTTTAATGGGGGCATTGACAAACTGATGTGAGTTCAGAGGAAGGCAGGTAAGAATAATTTAACCATGTCATAACCAACCTTTGTTTTCCTTATTTTCTTAGGGATTGAAGAGGTTAATGACCATTTGCCAGAAACACTTTCCTACAGACCCATCCAAATGTGTGGAGTACAATGCACTGTGAGATCTGTGCATGGTGTGTTAATAACAGTAAAAAACGTACAGAAGCAGGCTGTGGACTTCTGGAATTACCAACAGGAATGAGGAAAGAAGAAAACTGGAGTTTCCAATCTGAGTTCTACTTGATGTAACTCTTGATTGGTTTTAAGAACTGTATTGGCCTTCATTTCATAACTGACTGCAAGCTGATTTTTCTTTCTTGCTTTCATTTTAATTAGTCCAAAATTAAGTTTTAAAGACTTTTCCTCACAATTTAAATCTGTAGACAACAGAAGGGGGTTTAAAATGACCTTTTTTTCAGTTGACCTGAAAGTTGTGGTTAGATGATTAAAAAGAAACATTTGAGGATGGACTTAATTATTTCAGTAAAATACTATAATTTTCATATTGTCTTTTGTGTAATATTTATATAAAATATTTTTATATATTTCAAAAACATGGGACCATTGAATGAAACTTTATAGTCCTTAAATGTTGCTGAACTTTTGCTGTCTTGCAACAGAATTTGAATGTAAATATTATTACTGGTATAATTCGAGTGTTGTTTCTTTTCTTTTTTTTTTTTTTATACTTTACGTTCTAGGGTACATGTGCACAACGTGCAAGTTTGTTACATATGTATACATGTGCCATGTTGGTGTGCTGCACCCATTAACCTGTCATTTACATTAGGTATATCTCCTAATGCTATCCCTCCTCCCCCTCCCACAATAGGACCCGATGTGTGATGATCCCCTTCCTGTGTCCAAGTGATCTCATTGTTCATCCCACCCTAATGAGTAGGAGCATCCAGTATTCTGGCTTTCTGTCTTGAGATAGTTGCATCGAGAATCGATGGTTTCTGACTGCCATCCATGTCCTACAAAGGGACATGAAAGCTCATCCTTTTTATGGCTGCATAAGTATTCCCAATGGTGTATATGT